CCCTTTTAGTGAGAACAGGAGAAGGTTTCCAGACATCAATATACGCAAGAGAAATGGGAAAATAGAAATAGAAGTAATTTTATTAAATGATAATACTATCATTTTGGCAAGTTTACACCCCCAACATTTGACTAGGAGAAACTTTACCTAACAATCCTAATTTAGCTAACAATCGTAAATAGTCAACAGACAAATGATCTAATCTAGAATGCCACAAATAAAAAAGAATCAACTAAGAATCGAATTGGAAAGATGAAAAAGTAACTAGAAAGATGGACAGAGGGAGATATAAGCTTTCCACCACATAAAGGTCACATAAAGGTCCCCAACTCTACGACCGATCCCAATTTGCTTCTTGGACTACCCATCATACACACAACAGACAGAAGAATAAAAGATAACATCATAACCAGAAGCATCAAACTGACTAATAGATAGTAAACTAACAGATAACTCAGGAACATAAAAGACATATGGTATAGTGACAGTAGACATAGTAAAGGATAGAATAGACCCAACAGATAAGACAAACATACCAGACCTATTGGCAGTAGTAACAGTAATAGGAAAGGGAGGGAAATAACAGGTATGAAGTAAGGACAGATAGGGAGTCATATGATGAGAAGCATCAAAATCAAAGATCCAAACTGAATGAGAAATACCTGACGAAGAGCCAAGCAAACTTGAATGAATAGAGGTGAAAGTGAAAGGAGATAAGGATGGTTGGGAGGTAGACAAGATATGCCGAAGCTAAGTAATCTAAGCACTCAAGGAAGCCAAGTCAAGGTTTAAAGCCGGAACAGAAACAGTAGAAGCAGCTAAAGGTCGAACGATACTTTGAGTATGAGCTCGGAACTATGACTAAGACTACTAAGAAGACGCACATCCCTTCTTGGGACAATTGTACTTCCAGTGGCCCCTCAAATGGCGAAAAACACACTCATCTAAAGCCAAGGGCCCTCTCTTTGGTTTTATAGTGGCCTAAAGCTGTGAAAGTGGGGCCGATAACAGCAGAGGTTGAGTAGGAACCAAGAAGATAGATGAAGACAAAGTCTGACTGGTCGTCTTAAGACGATTTTCCTCAAAGAGGAGTTCACGAACAATAGCATCCACAAAAAGAATAGGAAACCAGTGAAAGATGCCACCATAGATAGCCTTATACTATAAGGAGAGAGTCATTAAGAACTGCACTAAACAACCCTTCTCCCAAAACTAAACATAAGCATCTAGTATCTTAAAACTAGACGGTTCCACGAGAGTAAGCTGATTCCAAAGTCCCATCATCTCAATGTAGAAATCTTGAATAGACTGATCTCGCTGACGAGCACTTTGAATAGATGTTTCTAACTCATACTATTTGGTAGAATTGTACTACTAATAAACCCCTTGTAAATAGTCTCATACCTCCACAGCATTATGAAACCAAGTCAGAACTTGGTCATTATCACAATTCCAAGTGTCACAAGCAGCCTAATATCCATCCTTTTTTGGATATGATGGATGGGAAACAGAACCAAAAACATATCTCTATTTTTTCCGATCAAGCAAAAAAAATTCATAACACTAGACCAATAAGCATAATTAGTTCCAGTAAGTTTGCAAGTGATAAAGTGAATCTTATCATCTGACATGATGACAATATGTAAATAAAAACTATAAGGGCCCTAAATGAAAAATATAAGAACCAGTTGAGGTCAAAATATAATACCCAGATTTTTGACCTTAACACCCACAAATATCAGAGTTTGAATGAATCAGTAATATGAACCAGAGTTTGAGAAAGACCCAAATCAAAGAAAAGAAAGAGAGTCTTAAGCCCAAGCTCAAGCCGAAGAGATGTCAGAGAAGAGAAAGAGAGTCTGAAGCCGAGGCCTAAGTCGAAGAGAGATTAGACAGAGATCACGAAAGAGAGACACTTTGCGACCACAAACTAGAGATGGAGGCTTTGCAAGATAGAGAGAGGCTTCACGACCACAAATGTGAGTCTAGAGAGACAGAGAGAGAGAGAGAAGTCCCGATTCTGATGGTAACGAACCAGACGAATGAGGGAGGACTGATAGGAACCAAAGAAATCGCGACTCAAGGCTAATAATGGTCACGAACCAGAAAAACTAGAGATGGGTCAAGACAGATGACCGTTTGACCAGCAAAAAAGAACCACAGCCGCGACAATCAAAGCACCTAGGATTTCAAATTAAGCTCTGATACCATGTAACTTTCAGAATATTTGTGTATATTTGAATAATTCATTGATACAAAGATTACATCAAACTCTAATCCCTAAGACTAAAAAGGAAGTACGAATTACAAAATATTTACACAATTTCAATCATTCTAAATTTCTAAAATATAATATAGGCAATATATTGTCACAAAATTCCGCAACAGCAAAGAACGACGGTCACCAGTAATGGAATAGTGTGAACTCTCGTAACGATGAAGAACAGTGGGTTGGGCAGTCGGCGAAATCAATGTGAAATCTCACGACAACAAAGAATGACGTTTGCCAAATATGGAATGATATGCTCACACAACAACGAAAAATGGTGGATTTCTACAATTTCCTCCAAATATGAAACCAGTAGCCCAATCTCCCTTGAGGGATGTTTTTGAATGATGTTTTTGAATTATAAGAAATTAGTTAAAGACTAATAAGAACATTATACTAGAAATGGAATACTCCCTCCGTCCCAAAATAATGATTCTTTATTGAGGAATTCAATTTTTTTATAGTACAATTATTTTATCTTAAAAATATTATTTTTCCAAAATTATCATTTGATAGTACATTTTTTTAAAAATATCAATTGTCATAATTGTACTTTTATGTTATTAATGAATTTATAAGGAGGGTAAAATAGTAAGTTTATATTATTTTATTTCTTAATTTTTGAAAATAGACTAATATTTTAAAATAATGAAAAATAAAATAAAGAATTAATATTTTGAAACGGTGGAAGTATATAAAATGCCCCATAATTTTGCCTGAAACTATTAGTAATTCACAACAAAAGACTGTTCTTCTAGGTTAATAAGAGCATCTCCAATGCACTAGGCATATAATACTTGTTAGTTAAAATGCCTAGTGTGATTCATTTTTTTCAATTCCAATGCACTAGGCATATGATTAGGCATTTTGGCTCAACTCATATTCACTAGCTACATGTAGCTAGCCTTTAACGCTAGGCAAAATGTATTCAATCATTAGGATCATTTCCCTCCATCTCTGTTGTTGACGTGGCATTCTATAAAATTAATAGTATTTGGATAAATAGCTAAAATAAAGAGCATGGTTGGAGTAAAAACATAAAACAGTTGATAGGCAAAATAAAATATATACTTTATAGTAATATTTGGATAGGTAAAATGCCTACTACCGTTGGAGATGCTCTTAGTGGAGGCATATCACCAGCATCTGAAAATAGTTTTCCCATATAGGGTGAGGCAAAGCCCAGTAGAAATAATCCAACACAATATATGAATCCTAACAAAGATATAAGGATGAAATGCCCATGCAATGCCCATGCCAAAACGTTTTACATTTCTTTCCCAAAAACCATGCAATACTCAGTTTATATCACAATCCTCAACATGAGCTGGAATGGTGTACGAATATGTCATTAATATAGAAATAGGACTTACTGGTTTGAAAGATAAAAGGCAAAACTAAATGGTTAACAAGATCTAAACTTGGGATTTATTGGTACTTTGCCCTTCAAAGAAATTTTAATATAATTATGTAAAATTTGATGGAATTTAATATAATTTTTAAATCTTAAAAAATATTAATCTTTTTTTTTTATAAATAATTTAATGTAAAATATTACATCTGCCAAAAACTCCTTAGTGTGTTTTTCCAAACATAACATTCCAATGTAACACATTAAAAAATTCTTTAGTATATTTTTCTCAAACGTAATAATGTAACATTTTAAAAAAAATTCTTAGTCTATTTTTCTCAAATGTAACACTCTAATCAATGTAACACACAAAAACTCTTTATGTTATATTTGGTTTGGGGATTTGGAAAGGAAAATGAAAAGGAAAAAGGTAGGTGAAATGTAAATAAAATATACTTACATTTCACACCTTAAAAGAAGGAAACAGACTCATGAGAATCAGTAGAGAAATACTCAGCTAGAGGGATCCTAGGAGGAGAAGAAAGAACAAGCTCATGAAGAACAATAGAGATGTACTCATCAAGAGAAAACTAATAAATCGATGTAAACCAAATCCTCCTTAAAAACCGGAACAGTGATAGGAAGATAAAAGTGCGGCATAATGGTCGGAACCCTATCTTCTGTGGGATTGAAATGTTCATTGTAATGTGTATGTAATCTCCGCCAAAAGAAAATACAAAACAAAATATTCCTTTGATCTCAATGCCCCTTCATCATCTCTGTAATCCATCAATCCGGTGGAAGGTCTAGCAGATGAAAATATGAAAATCCAATCTAAGAAACAGATTGCAACTAGCAAGAACTGAACGGGGCTATTAATTCACTCTTGGGGAGTAAGTAATGGAAGGTTATTTCAGTGAAACAAAGAAAGCAAAACAGGATGAGCAAAAAGGGCATTATATCCATCCAACAGAAAGTTAAAATCCAACATGCTCTCACATGGATGGGGACTGGAAACAGTAGGATGAGTGGCTTGGCTAACCAAGATTGTCCTAGTCTGGTCGATGAGGATGCCATTTATAATTTTAAAATTGTGTTTTTATATGATTAATCTACAACAATACTTAATTAGATGTTTAACTACTAAAATATAATTGAATTCTAGTAGTGCTTGAGATCAATGTAACCTTATCCCCTACCGTACTACATTTTAGAACATGCGGCGTCTCATTTACATTATAGTTCCTCATACCAGAACCCGCGTTCCAAGTAACATAGGTCATGCCTGCTTCTTTCTCTTTGGGGGTTGCCTAGGACTACACTTAAGTCAGGAGAGAGAATGCAGCCTTGATAAAATTTTAAAATAAGAAAAAGAAAAAATAAATAAAACAAGCAAACAAGAGGGAATTATAAGTACCAAGGGATCTGCAAATAGTCATCAATGTTACAAGGCAATTCTACGCAGTTTGGTTCAAGCAAAATGTAACATAAAGGCCCAATGCATGAGACTTCCGCTAAAGTAGGGTTTGGGAAGGGCAAAATGTAACATAAAGAACAAATCTAGAATACACTAGAACGCATGGAAGGTCATTATTTGATCTTGTCGATAATATCAGAGATGACTTTGTCCATGTCAAGTGCCTTCATTGGCGTAAATGGCCGCTTCATATCCTGGAAGTAAAGAAGAATAAACAGAGGACATTACAACCAATTCAAAAGCGGAAAAGAGGTATTTGAAAAGAGTCCAGAATCAACAGTTACTGTTATGAAAAAGAAACCTAATATCAATTACAAATGACTCATTTCAAGAACCTGACTATTCAAATTAAGGGACAACAAAAAAAATACATTGATGTTGCCACAATCTGATTTTCATTTGTTGTGTTCAATCAGTAGCGAGTTTGTCCGGTATAGGTTCAGTGTGGTGCCCTTAAATTTCACCTCAAGCGATTTCTTAGCCCCTCAGTGAGATGCCTTAAATTTCGCCTCAAGTGATTTCTTAGCCCAGGGCTGGCATCTGGCTAAAGCCTGAGCCGCCCCCTTTTTTCGTCTCACCCAAAAAAAAAAAAATTTGATTGTTTTAGGTTTGGTAAACTTCAATCTCTTCTAAGATTAGTATTTCTATTCAGTAATTGCTTAATTCTCATGTTCAAGTTGAGCTGACAAATCAAAGCCTAGGAACTACTTATTTTCTTTATTTTTCTTCTTTCACACAAAAGGAAGACTTATATAAGAATAAACTACTGCCCAAATTATAGTAGCAATTAGCAAATTTAAACAAGCACATATCAAAGCTCAAAACTAAATGCCATGGTCTTGCTGCTCAGGTTGTGCAACACAAAGAAATCTTTAATGCATCTTTCAATGATGGTGAGCTTGCATCAGAAGTTTGGACCTCTTTTCTTCAGCTAAGCAGAGTTCATTCCGTAGCTATCCAGTGCTAAAACTTAATTGTGGTAGCTGCCTTAATCATCCAAAAAGTTGCAATTCGAGTGGGACTATCCCTTCAATGGTGTCAAAAGAACTTTTTTTTAGATGGGGCTGCCATGGGAACTTAGCTTAGAAGGAATTAAAGCATTATCTTTCTGATTTTATTCTTGTTTTAGAGATAAGGTTTTGGGATTATAATTTATATAAATTCATCAGTACTGCGATGAATCAATAATCTCAAACCAAAAAGATTTTCTGGTTTGGACTTTCTCTTCTTCTATTTCTGGATTTACAGCTTATGATCGAACCCAACCGCACCTTATATACAGTAAAACTTGTCTGGAATAATCTATGGATTGCAAGAGAAAACAACAATGTTTCAAGGTGCTGATGTCAGCAACAGTCATGCCATGTGATGTCAGTGTGAAAGATGCATGAACCCTGGTTCGACTCATGCAGAATTTATGGGGACTTTTTTCAGAATTTGTGAAGCCATTTGGTAGATGTTTTCCATTTTTTGATATGTTTTGATCAATTTTTTCAATCTGGCTCTTGGAGGCTTTGAGTGATGTTTGGTTCTGCATAACCAAATCTACAAATGCCGACTAGGTATTCTAAGGGATTTTGGGAGCAGTTTGATGCAAGCCCATGTATTTTCGGTAATTTCTTGGTCAAGTTGGTGCCAGTTGGCCTGCTTTTTGCCTGTTCTTTCAGCTCTTCATTTTTGGACTTTTATTGGCTTCTTGATGGGGAACACAAGGGATTTGGATAAAGGTCTAGTGATTTATTTTGACATTGTTTCATATTTATTGCTAATATTTCCATCATGCTCATATTACATGGCATTAAAAAATGACGAAAATTTATTTGTGTATCTACATAGAAACAAGAAAATCGTAAGCACCAAGAAACTATAACATGTAGTAAAGGTTAAAAAAATAAATTTAAATAAATAAATAAAATAAAAAAATTGATGCAAATCAAAGAAGTGACATGCTGCAGAATAATGTTGTGCTCATGAAGTAATAACATATACAGGTCGGATGCTAGTGGAAATTATTACCAAAAGACTGATGAACTTCTCACCACCTTCCTCCCGTATTTCAAAGCATCCCCTTCTTGGCTAAAATAATGATAAAAATAAAAAATAAAAACAAAGAGAAAACAGGAGTGTGAACCATCAATCAGTAACAAATAGATACAACCAGAACACATAGTTCGTGAAGAAATAGAATACTGCATAAAGATGACATGATGCAGTTGTAGCATGCTTTCATAGAAAAAACATTTTCATAATTAGCAATAATAAAAAGTTCTAGTGTCCCAAAAGGGCCTCCAAAGAGAATGCTAATCCTAGCTCTGATGAACCAAGTCTCAAGGCCACTCCTGTTGACCACAAGTAGTCTGGATATCACAAATGAAATTCTTGCAAGGAAAATACAACAGTTATTATTTCTTCCAATACCTGCTTAAATCTCAGTAGTTTCTAATTTTCCAGTGGCATTCACTTTTCTATTTAGACCACTATTTTGTGCCAACACCAATACTATGTGTTATTGGATTTGCAAGGGCATTCCGGTATATTGGCCCCGATTAATCAAGGATATTAAGGGGGGTAAGAAGGGATGTAGATCTAATTTTAGCATTACTTAAGCTGAGTGGTTCCTTTTAGACTTAAATTGCCCACTCACAATAAGCATCCCAAGTATTTACCGTTGCACCAGCCCATTAATGTCAAATATATGTTTAGCATCCCAAGCTTTTAACTCCTTAAACAAAAGTCAAATATTTGGCAACCATCTATTGCCATCTTCTCAAATTATCATATTTCTATTATGTGTCCTTTCATTTTGTTGTTATTTGGAACATGGCACTAATATCAAATACTTGGCTACATATGCTGTGAAAAGAAATATCACATATTCTTCCCACAGATTACAACATCATATGATTGATTCAATGATATTATAATATAACAAACCAAAGTTGTTCACAAACTATTTTACAAATTTGTTTGCATTAACTCCATTGGTATTATTTCAATACTGCCAGTCCTAATACCAGACAAGGAAGAGAGTCGTGGGTTAGATAGTTAGACAGCCAACATGTATTGGATCTCTTATGAACATGAATCCTAGGTGAAAAAAGAAAATTACAAAATTGCCCCTACCTGATTGGAACACAATGCATAGTTTGGTGAAAAATACTTGATCTTGGTATTTATCATAAAAATATCACAATTTTATCATGATATGAAGCTTTCATAAATCTTCCATTATTATAATTTTATTTTTTTTTTTGATGTGTTAATTATTTATTAAATAAAATTTTTCAACAGTTTGAATTTCAAACATGAATGCATTTTAATGGATCATTAACGTGGAATTGTCTATCCAAAGTAGTGCAATTTGGATAAAAAATCAATTATTTGGAAGTCAAGAAAATGCCTTCAATTTCTCCAAACCATCATATTTGAGGGTACCCCTGGCACTATTTTGTCACCTTCTTATCAATAAAGGTATGGGAGCTTCTATTTCCACACACCATATTATCTCAGTTCATACACATTTTTAGTTCGGATATTTACTTCCGAATAAAACTATATGATTTGGAAATTAACTTATGACCAAAACCTTATGATTCGGCCATATCTTTGGTTCAAAAGTTGATTTCTGAACCAAAGCCACAAATTCAGCAAATGGAAGCAACAACAGAAGCACAAGGGCGTCAACTTTCAAAATTCTTAGAATAGGGAGCATCTTGAGAGCACCTATATTATATAATTTTTATACTTTAATATTATTAAATATTTCTATGATTCTGTATTCTATATTTAATTATCAACAAATACTTTTTGTTTTATTTGATTCATATAAGATAATATAATGAAGCCCAATTAATTACAATTATAGTAATGAAGATCAATACAACATATAATTAATATAAAGAAACTCCCAAAAGTGGGAGAGAAAGCCCCAATTAATACAATGGGGAATAAGAACCACACGTAGGTGAGGAGATTCAAACCGCTGACCTAGTAAGGAGTAGGAGTTCTGACAAATCAAGCTAGTCCCATTGGTTATCAATAAATACTTATATAAACTAAATTTTATTATAAAATATGTATCCCTAATCATCTACTCTAAGTAGATAAATTAAAATAATAAAATAAATCAAAAAATACTTATACAAACTAAATTTCATTCTAAAATATTTATTCGTAATTATCTTACACTAAGTTGTTAAAATAAAATAATAAAATAAATGAACGCCAAATGTAGCATTTTGTGTAAAATTTAAAAAACATGTCTAAACTAATATTATATGTAATAAAGTGGGATTCATATAATATTTTATACAATAATTTGTATATGAAGAGATTTGTATGGGTATGCGTGCATTATTCTATTAGTACTTTGAATTGGAGTATGTACTTCTACTGACACAAACATGACTGGTATGATTAAGTGTGTTTTGCTTCTCAAGAATTTGGCCAGAGTCATTATAGTATTGGCTATATAAGAGATTCATTTGAAATACCCAAACTCAACAATTACAATTCGCAAATCTCGATTTATAAATCTGCGAATTCATCACAATTTTGCTCCAAATTGGTTGATTCGCGAATTAGAGCGTGTCAGGTGACTTAGTTCCAAACTATTGGTAAGTTGATTCCAAAACCATGTAGTTCATTTTTTTGAAAATCGACTTCAGAAAGAAAAACAGTGTGTGAACTGAGAGAACATTGTGTGGAAACAGAAGCTCCCGGTATTTGACCATTACTCACTAATGTAGGGTTTGTTAAGCCTAGAAAAAGGTCCTTACATTGGTAATTTTTTATTCTAAAACTTTAGGTCAGGTTTCTAATAGGTTAAAGAAAGATTCAAAGAGATTATGGAAAGGAAAAACCCTGAATTGAATTAATTTTAGAAGTGGCAATTGTTGGATTTGTAGAAAAAGAGGTTGGGATACTCGGAATATCAACTTTTTTGGGTGAATTTTGGTGTTAATTCAAATGCCAAATGACAAAAACACTAACCAAAAGGAAAAGAAAGCAAAAAATTATTAGGGTTGATGAGGAGCAATACACTAGGTTTTTTAAGGTACCAAACCTACTATCTGGAAATGTACCAATAATAGTAACTTCCTAATTGTAGACACCCCATTCTGACTGGCTGTATGGCTTGGGTGCTCATCTCGCCCTATGAAAATTGGCAATAACAAGATTATCTTAGGGTAAATTACGCTTTGCACCCCTGCATTTTGCACCAAATCTCATTTTGGTCTCTATACATGAAATCATGACAGTCAACCCCCTGTACTTTTGGTCAAATTTTACTTTGGTTCATATACATGAAATCGTGACAATCAACCCATTACACTTCTAGTCGTGCCAATGTCTCCCTTTTATTACTCCAGCGTATAAGTCTTTAACAGAAGTCAGTAATGTAACAAACATATGATTACGAAATGAGGTAAAGGAGAAAAATCACACTCATTTCCTACCTATATACAATTCATCCCAAAATGTACCTCAAATTATGACTGTATTCGGTTAAAACAAAACGTAGTTTATGAACGACTAAGGAGATGAACAAGGGTTTTGCAGAAATTGAAATCACGAAACTCTATTTTTCACAGTTACACAATCTTTTGTCTATTCCTCTTCCTTTCCCTTCGATTTCTCTGTTGTCTTTTTATTATTTCAAAAGCTTTGTTTTCTTGCCTTTTCGTCTCAATTTTTAGCATATGAACATATATATATATATATATATATTGTATTATATAACTCACACATGTTTAACACATGGGACAAAATGTGTATTGGTGGGAAATGAGGATGATTTTCCTCTCTTGCCCTCATTTCGTAGAAACATGCTTTATCACATGACTATATTCTATTAAAGATTTAAACAATGGAATAACAGAGGAGGAACATTGACACTTGATCAGAAGTGCATGGGATTAACTGTCACGATTTCATATATAGGAACTAAAGTGGGATTTAGTGCAAAGTGCAATGGTGCAAAGTGTAACTTACCCATTATATTAAATCTCTAGGAAAATGATAAAGATATTGCTTTTTGCTTGAGAGAGTGATTGAGTAACCCCTCAATATCCACATTTGAACCATCGAATGGTTATAAGAGAGGTTCCCTAGTATTAAAATTGATGTCAAAATGGATTTCATGAAACCATCAAAATGGCTTCAATAATACCCCAACTTCTCTGCAGCATAAATATACAAGAAATGGTCATAGTGATAACAAAGCACTGATTCTCACAGCAATCATGATGTATCCATAAAACAACTTTTTAAACCCAACTTGGAATCTTCATTGGTTGCCAAAAAAATTCTAACATAGGAATATCCCCTAGACAAAAATCATTAGATATTTAATTGTTCTTATGATTTTTTCACCCTTCAATAAACTTTGTATTTAACCATATGATTTCCCCCATGTATATGCACAAATACAAATAGACAGTGATAATATATAAACATGTTAATTTAGCAGTCAGTTCTAACAAATAAAAATGTATATATATAAATAAATAAATAAATAAGTGAATCACATCCAATCAAGCATACCTTTTCCGGGTTGACAAGCACATTGACTCCAGAAAGACCACTTTCCAAACCATTCTTCACTTGAATAGCCCGAGTCTTAAATGAATTGCATTGTTTGCTATAGAAAGAAAACATAGTAAATTAGAAAGTTAGAACTAACTCAATAGTCAGTATGGAGACATAAGTATTTATCAAAATAAAAATTAAGGATGCACTGTATAAATAAAAAGATGATCATTTTGAGATATATTTGTTACACGGTCTTAGGTAGAACTCACCCAAAGAGCTAGCTTTTAAAGTAAGGGTGCCCTCATGCTTATATGCTTAATGTTACTTTAGTACTCAGGCGATGTGGGACTTCGCTTCACACCCTCCTTCATGCCAAGCGTGCTCACTTGGCAGCACCTACGGCGTGTTGGCCAAGGACACACAACCTACACATCCCTGAATACTTTGGCTCTGATACCATGTTACACAGTATTGGACAAAACTCAACCAAAAACGACAAGTTGGCCAGGGACACACGTCCTACCCATCCCTGAGTACTCTGACTCTGATACCATGTTACACGATGTTGGATAGAACTCACCCAAAAAGCTAGCTTTTAAAGTAAGGGTGCCCTCATGCTTATATGCTTATATGCTTAATATTACTTGAACACTCAGGCGATGTGGGACTACACTTCACAATATAGCACAAGCAAATGCAAGCAAAACCAAAATACATGATATAAAATAATTTTTTTTAAAAATAAAAAGAAAAAGAGAAAAAGAGCCAAAAAAGGAACACAAAGTTACAACAGTACCTATAGGTACAGCTCCAGAGTCCAATCAATAACTATAGTCACACAAGGTAATCCTACCTCTGAACTGTCTGTTTTCGAAGCTCACTTAAAGTAACAACACCTTTACCAAAATTGTACTCATGGTCACCACGAACTTTTAATTAACTTTTAAAAAATAGGTAGTACTTAAAAAACCCAAACTTTATTGCCAAAAAACGATACATATACATACTTTGACTCTTAAAGGCAGATGTACCAAATCAAATGTAATGTCAATGTATGAAACACTAAATGAAAAAATCTAAAAGAACTCCTATTGTAAGGGAAAAAATACATAATAAGTCCCACACATAAAACTTCAATAGATGGAGCAAGGAGTCAACCTAAGCACCTAGGTTTCACTTTAATGGAGAATCAGATATATTTTGAGGGCCTTGAATCCTTTTCAAGGTTCAAAAATATCTTGGATTCACGATCTATCACCTCATATAGAAAGCTACATTTTTTGCTTGAAGCAACAACATAGATCAATTTGTTTTATCATCAACAAAACTCTTTATTAAGGGTTAATTACATTTTTCATCCCCAAAGTAAGAGTATTGTATCATTTTGATCCCTCATGTTTAAATTGTGTCAATTTAGTCCTCAATGTATAAAAAGTGTTTCAATTTGGTCCGCAACCTAACTTCATCAGTAGACAGTGTTACAGTTAGGGATAAATGTGTAATTTTGGACACCAAAATAACACATCACATATTTTGAAAACTAAAAGTGTCATTTTTAAGTCATATAACATATTTTGGGAACTAAAAGTTTAATTTTTTAAGCAAGATCTTAAATTTCAATGACCTTAACAGTGTCTACCAACAAAGTTAGGTTGGGGGACCAAATTGAAACACTTTTTATACATTAGAGACCAAATTGATACAATTTAAACATTGGGAACCAAAATGACACAAACAGCATATTTTGGGGACTAAAAATGTGATTAACCCTTTTATTCATTTAAGGAAAATTACTAAAGAAAATGGAGGTCATGCTCTCTTCATCCCTCCAACACAAGATACAGCTTTGTGGAAGCAAAAGGTTATTAAGTCTCTTTTTGAATCATATTAGTATTAAGCTTTTTATGAGCCAAGGACCATACCAAGACTTCCCCTTTAAGGGAAAACCATGCACACCAAATCACCTTACAAGGAGCCAAAATATGGAAAGCTCAAATAATTAATAAGCCAATGAAAAAGTCTTACAAGAAAATAACCATGATCAATGAATGAATCGCCCTTCTATCAATTATTTCACACCATAAAGAAGCATCATGAATGATAGCTAACAACTAGGCCAAATTATTAGCCCCCCTCCCATATGAATTTCTAAAAAAGTTGAAATTCCAAGATATAGGTTGCTCATTGAAAATAGTAACAGAAGTGGTAGAAACATTATAAGAAGAGAATGATCAATTCAAGTCCCAAAATGAATATACTCCCCAAACACCCCCGCCATAAAACAAGTGAATTGTAAAAAGTGAATTGTAAAAAGTGAACAAGCCTGTGAGAAATACACTTCCATTGAGATCTAGAATTTCCCCAATAAAAGGCATGACAATCGCAGCCATTGGTTTGGATCCCATACTCTTAATCACAATTTTTTTGAATCAGCATCAACGCATAAAATTTTATTAGTAAAAGAAAAGTCAAGAAGAAAATAAGAAATGTAGCTATCTACATACAACTCTCTAATCCTTAGAAATTAAATCCCCCTAATCACTAGTTTTAACTTAAAATTCTTGCATTCCTTTCTACCAAAACAACCCAAAGCACTGCACATACCACATTACTCCAAAGAGTCCTAGGTTCATCATTCAATCCAAGGCCTCTATAATCAACACAAAACATATGCACACAAGGAGAAGCAACAACCAATCCAACTCTGCTAGCCAAAACAGCCTACACTATAATGACAAAGTTATAGGGTAACGATACACTTAATCACAGAATGCTATATAGCATTTCACTCGATAGGAACCTCCAGAAAACACAGCTAACTAGGAAAGGCCCACTTTGAGTAAGGTGAAGGCCATCTCCAGAAAGAAAAGGGCTACCTGCCATGAAATAAAGACAACCTAAACTGAGAGCCAGCGTAGAAAGGGCTACTTGTGAGAAGAATTTTATGTTGGAAAGGGTACCAGCCCCTACAGAGAAAGGTAACTGAAGCAAAAGCCACTCATTAACAAAGAGCAATTCAATTGGTCAAAGAAGCAACTGGAGCATTTTTTGTCAGCAACAAAAAAATAAATTTTATTAAAAAGTGAAATATGAGATGCAAGAGTAGTCACAGGACAAGAAATTCACCAATAAATGGTAAATAAAAAATAGAAAATATATATCTCACTCCCTCCATTTTCTTTTAATCGAAACAAAGAAATCCCCTTAAAAGGAGATGACATCAATCCCTAAAAAAAAAGCTAGATAACAAATTTTATCCCATCATGCCCCTAACTCATCATCCTTGGCCACAAAATTCTAGTATTCCTTTCCAAAGAAATCACCCAAATAACTACACAAATAACACAATTCCAAAAAACTTGGGTCCAACTATTAATACCAAAACCCTTGGTCAATTTCTATGAAGCATGAATACTTCAAAAAAGGAGACGTATCCATATTGGATACCAATACGCCTTGGATACTCGCGGTTACATATCGGATACTTAATTTTGAAGTATCGAATACTCCAAGTCACATATTACTCCAAATACTTTATTTCGTTATTTGACAAAAAGAACATAGTGAGAGTTAAAGTAATAAGATATGTCAAATTGATGTATCCTTATTGTTTCATGCATGTCCTCTATAACTACGTAGAAAGTAAGAATTAATAAGAGAATATAACAATAGTAAAATTATAAATTATAAATAAATATTTAATAAACTACAATATATTATTTTTATTAGTACCAAAGGGAACAGCATAGGAACAAGTTGTGGATTGTTCTATTATTGTAATATAAACATATTAAACTTGATATTAAAATGAAATATACAAGTTACTGCCTTAAATTAATATCTAATTTTTAAGGGTTAGTGCTTTGCATTATAAAATTACAATGTAGTCTCTCAACATTCTTGAGCTTATGTGTAACTCATTACTAATAATTTTTTTAAAATATATTTTTAATAAACGTATCCTAGCCATATCCTAGCCATATCCTACTTTTTTAAGTTTTGTCGTATCACCGTATCCGTATCCGTGCTTCCTAGGTCAATTTGAAGCATATGAAAGCAAAAAATGGAACCATCCAATACAAACCTTCCAACCAAAATCCTTTAAATATGTAAAGAAGGGAATGACAAAAGCACCAAAACTTCATCAAACTTTTCCAAAGTATTTAAAGTTACTTGCAACGCTTCTTATGTAGGCATTGGAGGTGCTCTTAGTCAGGAAGGGTATCCAATTCATTATCTTAGTGAAGTATTCAACCTACAACAAGGACTTCGCGTTGTAATCACACCAAGAGGCACTCAAATATATCAACTCCCAAAAAAAGTTGAATCAATGACATGGCAAGTGGGCTTCATTCTTGCAATAATATTCACTTGGCATCAAGGAAGAGGTTTGTACGGAGAACAAGGTGGTTGATGCACTTAGTTGATTAGAACAGATTCTCAATTCTATGGTTAATCGAGTATCACACATTCTAACATTCATGGCTACCCAGTTTGTGAGTTTCAATTTACTCGAAAGAGATTATTTATCTTCCAAAGATGTTAGCATTATTCCAGGTGATTTGGCAGCCAAATAGTGAACTAATTTTTAAAAAATTTCACTACATGATGGACACCATTTAAGGGAACTCATCTTTGACCTTTGTTTACACACCACTAGAATAAGTGATACAGGGATTGCTTGATGGAGGGGCAGCTGGTCATTTGGGCATGATAAAACGATTGCTAGGAAGCTCATTTTTATTAGCCTAGCTTGAAGATAAACATAGCAAGGATTGTCCCCTGTTGTACATGGCAATTATCAAAAGGGAGGAAGAAGAATATTGACTTTTACATGCATTTACCTATAAGTTATAACTCATAAGCCATGGCAAGACCTTAGAATGGACTGTCTTAGGCCTTCCCCTGCCAAAAACTCTTCAGGGTTTTAATTCCACATATGTTGTTAACAAGTTCTAAAAAATGGCACCCAATTTTCTATGACAAAGACAATAGATGTTTACATTCCAAAATATTTGTTAGTGAAGTTGGGCACTTGCATAGTTTACCTCTAATGATTCTTTCTAATTTAGATGTTAAGTTTTATAAGCTATTTTTGGAGGCTTTGTGAAAATTGATAAATACCAAGCTCAATTTCTCTTCCGCTTTCCATCCATAGACACAAAGAT